CATTGGCTTCCTGTCACCTACAGAATTCAGTACAAAATTGCTCTCATCACCCATCAATGTTTAAACGGAACTTCACCAGATTATCTGAAGGACCTTCTTGCTCCATGTTCATCCACCCGGTCCCTACGATCACAGAACAATCATCTCCTCCACCTTCCACAAACTAAATTAAGAACCATGGGAGATCAGACATTCTGTGTGGCTGCCCCCCACCTCTGGAACTCCCTCCCTGAATATCTGAGAGCTCCACAATCACTGACTGACTTTAAAAAAGGCTTAAAGACTTTTCTTTTTAAGCAAGCCTCTTCTGCCTCCACATGATTGTATCACTGATTTTAGTTGATTTTTATCACTGACTTTAGTTGATTTTATCATTTTAGCAAATTTTATCACTGATTTTAGTTGATTTTATCACTGACTTTAGTTGATTTAATAATTTTAGTTGATTTTATCACTGATTTTAGTTGATTTTATCACTGACTTTAGTTGATTTTATCATTGATTTTAGTTGATTTTATCACTGACTTTAGTTGATTTTATCATTTAAGTTGATTTTATCACAGATTTTAGTTGATTTTATCACAGATTTTAGTTAATTTTATCACTGACTTTAGTTGATTTTATCATTGATTTTAGTTGATTTTTATCACTGACTTTAGTTGATTTTATCATTGATTTTAGTTGATTTTATCACTGACTTTAGTTGATTTTATCATTTAAGTTGATTGTATCATTGATTTTAGTTGATTTTATCATTGATTTTAGTTGTACTCTGTAGCACTTTGAGATTTTTGTTAATGAAAAGTGCGTTACAAATTAAATTCTTTATTATTATTATTATAACTGATATATTGGCTGAAATTTTTTTAGCTTGTCCCTCCAATAATCTCAATAAACAGCTACTTTAAAACCCGTTTTAACACTTGAAGTCTTGAAATGGTCTTCCTAACGTGCGTTCACATTTTCTATCCTCCACTATTCACCATAAAGTTTGCAAGAGTGTTATAAAAATATAAATTAAGAAACACTCTTCTCTGTTCATTGCTTAAACAGTCAGTCACATATGGGGAAGGTCTAATTAGTTTTGACCACAGCAGAGTTTATTTTTCTTTGCAGAGAAGTAAAGATTTCAGACCAGCAATTAATTTCATTGAGGACAACAAAGATAACGTTACTAACTCTGATATATTTTACCTCTATGTTAAATTTATTGTTCTGGATAAAGTTTTACAAGGCTACAACCTATGCTAGGTTATCTACTGGTAAATATTAGCTTGCTAACTTGAGAGGCACGTAGCTAATGAAAAGCAGGTTGGAGGATTGAAGAGAATTTATTATTGTTAATTTATTTTACAGATCAGTTAAAATAAATTACCATGCTCTGTTCAGCAAAATATACTACACAGTATTTAGTTGTTCCCTGTGCTGTCATGTGCAGCTCGGCCATGACTTGTATAGTAGTCCTCATACGCCCTCTGCTGGATACATTATATAATTACGGCTTGTTCTCAGCATTTTAGTTGTGAAAATTAGAAGTGTTTATATCGGTGCATAATGGGCCAATTATCACTGATACGGATATGTCTCCATACGCATGTATCGTCTTAAAATATCGTCCCCTTCTGAAATATCTGGCGGGCTCTAGTTTTGATCATTTGCTCATTGCCAAAACTGAATGTCCAAACCTCAGTCCTGCCAATGGCCCAGGAGAACAGACTGTATTATTAGTAGCACAGACCTTCACACACATTTGCTCTTATTGGCTGGCTGCTGCGAAAACAAAACTCTTTCTGGTGCCTTTGTTTCATTTAAAGCAGCTAACAGCATCATTTTTCTAACCCTGTTATGAGTGAACTGATCAGTATTTACTACAACTCAAATAGGAGATGACTCGCTCAGAGCTTTTGTCTTTTGCTGCAGATAAATCCCGAGCTGAGCTGGACCAAGTCCCAAAGGTAAGACATCTTTATTATTCTCTGCTCCTGTTGAATGTGTTCAAATGTTTTTGACGTTACCCTTAAATTTATTTTCAATCTGTGTTTTTCAGTTCATCTTTAAAATATGACATACTCCGACCATATTTATTTATACTCCTATTGATGGAGCACTTTCGTCCAGTTAAACTTCATGTCTTCAGTTGTTGTAATGATCCCGTTACACAAAGTTCTGAGCCATCTGGAAGTTCCTGGATTAATGATCATAAACTTGCATACATCATCATTTACTTTATTTCAGACACAATATAAGATCCATATAAAAACATAAAAAACAACAAAAACACAGAATTAAAAAGTTTTTCTATAGAGGCTCAAAAGCCAATGAGTCCATAAAGTAGAAAAGTATCTCACAGAGCTTAGTCCAGGGTTGGTCAGTGAAGCGATGATAGTTTTCAGATTCAGACAACCTACACATACATGAGGTTACGCAGCACCGCAGGGCAGGTAGGCACACCTGCGTCTACAAACATTTTGCTTGCACTGCTCCATCGAGGTACCCTCAACAGCATCCGCATGCCATCATTATATGCCACATTTAGTCTATACATACTGCTCCTTTTATAACGTCTCCACAGGTGAGCGGTATACATGGGAGTGCAGTAGGCCTTAAACAGTTGGATCTAAACTGATGTTGAGCACAGTCCCAACCTACGGATCAGCACGTTAGCTTGTCCATAGAGCATACGACATTGTCTGTAAATGTCTCTATCATCTGACAGGTCTGCAGTCACATAGTGCCCCAGGTATTTACATTCATCACTGATGTTCAGCCCGTTGCCCGACAGAAAGAAATCAGGGAACATCAACTCGGAGTCCTCTCTGCTCCGCACAATCATGATGCTGCTTTTCTTAGAATTATATTTTATATCAAAGTCTCTTCCATAACCGGAGCACACCTGCAGCAGCTCTTGCAGGCCAGCAGTACAAGGACAGAAAATCACTAAATCATCAGCATACATTAAATGGTTGATGATCCTGTTACCAACCCTACAGCCTGTTCCACACTCATTTAAGAGCTTTGACAGATCGTCC